AGAGAAAGAGAATTTTCTCTTTTATGGGCAAGTAATAATAGGAGAAATAAAATATTTCAGTGTTAAAATTCTGACTATATAATGGCTAAATTACCTGTATAGTGTTTAAAGATTAGTGCACAGAAAGGTAATTGTTTCCTAAAGTTTTCTTTGTCTATTTCCAGCCATTTCCATTATTCATGTCTCGTTTCATGCTGTTACCTTCAAACAGGTCAATTTGCCCCACTACACAAGGATTTTTCATAATACAATATGACAAAGATAATTCAAAATAGCAAATATATAATGTATCTGATGCATTTTTCAGCATAATTTGTGTTTGCCCAACATGATGTATTTCTCTGTAATTCCTCGTGTTGCTTCTGATTAATGACTCCATCACCTCTTTGAAGTTTTATTTCTAGTATTTGTCCCATTAACTTGGTGAATATTGATGTCAAACCCACTCTGCCACCATATCATAGCTTCTGGCACTCTGTTCCTCCGCCATCTCATCTGGCCACGTACTCCACTGACATTAATGATGCCTAGCTCTGCAAGCCTAGTGCTGCAATGCCAGAGAAGGGTGAAGGGTGCACGGCTGCCTCTTACTCTCCTTGCAAAACACACTTCTGATAACAGCCTTTAGACATCTATTTTCTAAAGTCACAAAATTGGCATCTTGATGGGAGGCAAGCTAGTTAGTGTTTCTGGCCTGCTGGGCCCCAACCCGTCCTTAGAGCCTGGGGTCCTGGCTACTGAGTGGCTGTCTTTTGGTGGCTTGCATTTCACGCCTCCTCAGGGAGCTCCTATTCTTGGTCCTCTCCCAGAGTTTCTGGCTCATCTGATTATTATTATTATTATTTTTTTATTTTTTTGCGGAACCAGGGATTTAACTCAGACCCTTGCGCTTGCCAGGGAAGCGCTTATTCCACTGAGCCATCTCCCTGGGCTCATCTGATTATGCAGAAGTTTCTCTTGACTTAACCACAGACACACCTACTGTGAAGGCCTTCATTAGACTGGAGTGGGTGGGTAGAACTGCCGGGGTCCACCGTGACAGCATAAAATCATTCTTGCTTTCCAAGCATCTTCTTAAAGAGTGAAAAGCAACCTGATCTTCTCCACTGAGCGACCCACTAATTGCAAAATGGGAGGTGGGGTGAGGGCAGCGCTCCTTTCCAGCCCGTGCAGGCCCCAGGTGAGGGCTTCTGGGCTGAGTGCTTCCAAGATCACAGCCCTGGCTCCTCACAAAGAGGCCGCCACCTCAGCAGGTCCAGGCCGGGCCCAGTCTGAGGGGCATGGGTTCTCCCTCCAGTTTCCCCTCAGCCAGGGTGCTCAGAGCTCAGGGGCCAGAGAGAGCCAGTCACATTACCCTGTTCTCCACTTCTATCCTCCTCACTTGCCCACACCTTTCCTCCATAGCTGAGAGGAGAAGGCTACTTTTCAGATATATTTCTCTCGGCCTTGTGGAAAGAAACCAGCTATCAAGCCAGGCATGTTTAATTTGTATGCATTTTAAGTGGAAAAATGGACAGCATAAAAAGTATGATCTTTTATGTTCAGAAGAGCACAGAATATTCCAATTTTGGGGCCCTGTAGGATAGCTGGGTATGTGTCACCACTTGAAAATAACCTGTGTTAGTGAGCAGGCACCTGTCTCTGTGTCCAAAAGGTATGGCATAATCCACGCTGGGGGAGTAGGAAAGTACCTCAGCGACTGGATCCTGCAGGGAGAGCCTCCTTTTGACCTGATAGAACTGGACCCTAACCGCTATGGCAAATGGACCACAGCTCAGTACACTGAGGCCAAAGCCAGAGAATCCTACGGATTCAACAACATCGGTGAAGTACAGATTTGTAATTGTACAAAGTGTTCACAGCATCCAACGCTAGATACTTTTTAAAAAAAAATATTTATTTATTTATTACATTTATTTAGTGTGTGTGTGTGTGTGTGTGTGTGTGTGTGTGTGTGGCCAGCTCAGCCCACCAGGGGTCGGGGCTGGCTGGCATGTGGTGCTGGGGGATCTAGATACTTTTTATTGTGTTCATTGGGTGGAGCTGGTCAGGGACCCTAACAGATTGTGCTTTTACTTAATTATTTCAATTTTTAAGTAATTTTTCACTTTATGCCTTGATGATTAATATAAATGACTGCTTCAATCTTTACATCAAACACACATATGCACATGTGTGCACATCTGGCTTTTGAGTCCTATATTTTCCACTGTCCTAATCCCTTGGAAGTATTTGTCTTCCTGAGTGCTGGCTCTTCTTTTCCAGTTGGCTATCCCAAGGAAGAGCGTTTCGCTGGGCGGCCCACGCAGAGAGTCAGCGGGCTTTATGAGACCCTGTCACCCAAGTGCTCCATGGGATTCCATGCGGGCTGGGAACAGCCGAACTGGTTCTACAGACCGGGCCAGGACACTCAGTACAGGTGTGTGGCTGGCTTTGCCATGTGCTGACCCAGTGGTGGAGCCCAGGAGCTAGAGGAAAGGATATAGAGAACTGAGGACTTTTCTTCCCCGAGAGCTGCAGCAGCAGCCCTGGCCATGCCTCTTTCCCTCAGCATTTTTGCTAGAAAAGCAGAGGAACTTTGCTCACCCCACCAAATCCCCACTTGACCTCAGCTGCCTCTCAAAGGTTTGTGCGGCTTTAGGATCTTGGTCAAATCACAGAATATGGAACCTCAAAATGAAAATAACCTGCATCTGGGGATACAGCATGGGGAAATAGCATGAAATAACGTCTTCCTTCTAGTGCATGTAGTATGCATGCGCATAATGTTCATGCTAAGCCCTGCATATCATGTGCATGGTTGATAAATTGGCTTAGGATTTCAAGTTAAGCTAAGGCATAAAATAACCATCAGAACACAGCCCTGCACCCCTGGAGAGCACCGCATATCATACAGTACTTGACATGAATTATACATTTTTTCTCATGAGAATCCATAAACCAAGGGAAAATAAGTAGCCAACCTAAAAGTTGTTACCTTTGTTTTCTCCAGCTGTTGTTTTGCTTCTGTAAACAATGTTAACATAAGAGCTAAGCAACTAAAGACTGTTGAGCTGTGAACTCATCTGGGCTCTACAGGGAGACAGTCTTGACTGTTGGGTGGCTACATACTGGTTTGGGTTTCTCCTAAACAACAGGTGAATGTCAACTCTGTTCTTCACTTTGTGCTTTTTTGGGTCTGGCCTGAAATTCTTCTACCATTTTAATAATTAAGCTGATGAAAACTCAGTTTGCACACCCAGCCCCTTGCTCTGAAGTTAATATACCAAGTTAGAAGTCTGCTTTGTGAAGTAGACAGAACCTTTGCAATGTGCCAAGAGACCTTTGTTCTAGACCCAGCCCTATCATTAATTAATGCAAAGGTCTTGGAAAGTCACACTGTGCCCTTTCTTTGAAAACATGTTTAGGCTTGTAATCCCAGGACTCTGGGAGGCAGACACAGGAGGATCTCAAGTTCAAGCCCAGCCTTGGCAACTTAGCAATTTAAACAGAACTTATCTAAGTATAAAAAACAAAAAAGAAAAGGCTGGGAATGGAGCTCAATGAAAATCTCCTAAGTTCAAGTATTGGTACCCACCTCACTAACAAAAAGTTTTGGACCAGAAAATCAGGGACCCTGTTGTCTGTAGTATGGGCATGGAGGCCTTCTCAAGTCTAACACATTGAATCTGGCTGTTAACAAGCCCAGCTGATTAGCATTTGTAGCTGTGTGGGCGAAGCTCTGGCCATCCCTATCCCCACCAGTATTCTAATTCAGTTTGGCTCAGTGGCTGGTAGTGGAAAATGCTGGACTGCTGACATGTGCCTGCCTCAGGTGCCATTTTTTTAAAAAATGTATTTCACACAGGGTCTCACTGCACACCCCTGCAGGGTCTCATTGCACTGCATAGTGATCCTCCTGTTTTCAGCCTCCCCAGCACTGGGATTATAGGTGTGCACCACCATGTCTGGTCCGGTGGGTGGCTCAGCAGGCCAGGGGATGGGGCTGACACAACATGTGGTGCCTGGGATCTAACACCAGTCCCTGCACCTGCCTAAGCAGGCACTTAGTCTACTGAGCTATCTTTTTAGTCCCCAAGTGTCATCTTATGTGCTAGGTAGTTAACATTTCATTTGCTATGAAATGGCCAGGTGAGTAGCTTTAGGTCAGAGCCCAACATAAACATACATACATATGATTGGCAGAGCAGTTAAGGTCAAATCTCCTTTCCCAAGTAGTATTTTCTAGATGGAAAAAATTTATTAAAATAGCCTTACTCTACACCCTTGGACAGTAAGTGAAAGCATTCTATAACAGCAAACACTGCGTTTCAGGCCAAGCTTTCGCCGCACAAACTGGTTTGAGCCGGTGGGGTCTGAGTATAAACAAGTTATGCAAAGAGTGGGGGTGATTGACCTGACACCATTTGGCAAGTTCAGCATCAAAGGCCGGGATTCTGCAAGGCTGCTGGACCACCTCTTCGCCAATGCCCTTCCGAAGGTAGATAGCCAAAGTCCAGGGGTCACGCCCATGTGACTCTCCATCCTCTTGGGTTTTTTTTTTTTTTTCAAAAGTCAAATTCCAATGTGTTATTTCAGCTCACAATTTGATACCTGTGTGAACATTAGAACTCTTCAATGGAGAGAAAATAAGCTACTTTTCAAGTTTAAATTCTTGTTGAGTGCTTTCCTGTATCATTCAAAGACCTAATGACTTTGCTTAATTATGTTGGGGGAAATTTAAAACCGACTACATGTAGGCCAAGGGTGGTGGCACATATCTGTAATCCCAGTGTTTGGGAGGCTGAGGTAGGAAGATTTCCTCGAATTTGAGGGCAACCAAAGTATGGTGAGTTCAAGGCCAACCTGAACTATCTAGTAAAAGCCCTATTTCAAAGATACTTAAGTAAAATTGATATTAATAGAAAGCATAGCTTTTATGACAGCTTTGAATGGTTAAGATGAGAATGCCACATTAACCTTGGGTTTAAGTAGTTTGTACAATTGATAGACATGGTAAGAGAAGAAAGCATTTCATGGTTAATGCTCATATTTTTATTTACATGTGTGTTAAAAGAATGCCTAAGGTTTTCAGCTCATCCTAATCATTTTGAATTATTTGGTGTAGGTGGGTTTTACAAACATAAGCCACATGCTGACACCCAAAGGTCGTGTGTATGCTGAACTGACTGTCTCTCACCAATCTCCTGGTGAATTTCTGTTAATAACTGGTTCTGGATCCGAACTCCATGATCTTAGGTAAGCACAGCTAGTACTAATGTTCTGTATGCCAGGTGTGGTGGTGCACACCTGTAATTCAGCACTTTAGAAGGGTAAGACAGGCTGAGGCAAAGTTGACCTCAACCTGGGCAATAAATTGCTAAAGCCCCTGCTGTCTCAAAAATAAAGAAAAGAGAAAACATTTTGTACAGATTGCATGTTGACTGGATCTTGCACTGAGTTTTTCCTTTATAGTACTTGAAATGTAACTTTAATTCTTCTTTGGTTTTCATTTTTTATTGTATTTGGTACGGGGTCTCACCATGCAGCTCAGACTCGTAGTGATCCTCCTGTTTTCAGTCTCCCCAGTGCTAAGATTACAGGCATGTGCCACCACACCTGGACTCGGTCATCAGCTCAGCGTGCCTCGGGCGGGGGTGGTGCAGCATGTGGCGCCAGTCCCTGCGCTTGTCTAAGCAGTGCTTGCTCTGCTGAGCTATCTCACTGGCCCTTTAATTCTTCCTTTAATTTGTGCCTTTTATCAGAAACATTTGAAGACCCTGCCCCCCACCTAGTACCCCAGGGGTTGGATTTACTGGTTCTGGTGCTGTTCAGTCCCATTTAGAAGGTGCAATCAATGTTCCAGAACTCCTTTAAAACACTGCCTTAGTCATTTCTCCTACTCCCTTGTTAATTATGGTAATGCTCAATCAGATGGGGAAGCTCGTTTGGCTAACTTGGATCAAGCCAGATTGAGCCTTGCCTTCCTGCCCTCAGCTCCATGCTCTGCCATGCCAGGCCTCTTTGTGGGTGTTTGTCTGAAAGAAAAGAAGAAGTCTGTAGTCCATTACTTTCAAATGCTCAGAACACTACTATCTAACACACGTGCTACCTGGTAGATCCTCGCTGTGGTCACCGAATTATACACGTTATCTGCTCTGAGGCAAAGTGCACTGGGTTCTGTCTCAGCAGCCAAGCTTTGGCTCAGTCCGCTCCAGCCCTTCCCCGTACACTTTCAAGCCCGAGGGACCTCTCATAAATGATAAATGGGGCCACAGCTGGGCTCCAATAACTCATCGAGGCTTAGAAACTGAAGCCAGAGTTTTTGTCTTTCCTTGTGATCCTCGAGCGAGTCTGTGCCTGGTGCCAGGTGCATTGTGAACCTGCAGTGACACAAGCATGCCTCCTGCATTACAGCACATTTGGTTTTCAGTAGATTTTTGAAGCTGACTCCTTACTTTAAATGCAATAGAACTGTCACTATTTAAGAAAAATCGCATGGCATGTTCAAATTGAAGCATCCTCAGTTCTGTGGCACATTACCCCCAACTCATGTGGGTGATTTGGAGACAGTCTCTTCACATCTCATGGGCTCAGGTTCCTCCAGTTTAAAAATTGAGTGTTTGGATCCAGTGGTCCTCTGGGGACTTTCTGATAATTCTAGACACAAACCCCATCTTCAGGGCAGTGAAATGTCAGCAGCACGCAGCACTGCAGCAGCATTCAGCCTCGTGTCTATGCCTCCAATGCAGATGGATTGAAGAAGTAGCCATCAAAGGTGGATACAACGTTGAGATTAGAAACATAACCGATGAGCTGGGCGTCCTCGGAGTTGCGGGGCCACATGCGAGGAGGGTCTTGCAGAAGCTGACCTCAGAAGACCTCAGTGAAGGCGCCTTTGCTTTTCTGCAGACCAAGTCCTTCAAGGTTGCTGGGATTCCCGTCACTGCTATTAGGATATCATACACAGGTGAGCCCCTCAGCCATCCTGGTCTGAATCTCTGCACGTGTGTGCACAGTCACTGCGTGCCTTGTGACTTGGCAGTGGGAAGATTGTTTTTGCTCAGCTCTAAGACGGGTCTGCCTATTCACTGCTAGGCTCCAATGGGTTTCTAAATGTCTGACAGAGTAGGAAAAGAAATAAGGGAAGGGTAACATCAGAAAAACTGGAAAGGCCAGGCCAGCAGCCCTGTCGAAGGCAAGGGTGTCGTTATTCAGAGCCGACATGGCTGAGTCCTGCTTTCCGTGTAGCACTGCCTGCAGGCACTTCCTGCCCAGGCTGTGTGCTCACCAGGAAACCTCAGCCTTGTGTGTGGTGGTGTGGGCCTCTGACAGGGTCCTTTTTCATCCCCATTAGCACCCAGTACCCCCCACCTCTGGGCCCCTTCATGGATGGGACCTGGTCTCTGCACTGTGGCTCCCACCGGGTGCCAGCAGCCTGGGCCAGCCTGAGGACGGGGCCCAGGAGAAAACTGTGGCACTGGAGGCCATAGATCTTCCCTGGGCCTCTGCTCTACGTGGTCCCACCCCTCAACCCAACAGGGGACAAAATAATGACCAAAATAAAAATTAGTAAATGGGACAGGTGAGATTTGTCCCCTGTCTTGCTCTCTTGCCTACCCCGCCACCTCTGATGCTGCTCCATGTACAGACAGGGATAGAGTGGGAGCAAGGGAATCTCACACAGTGTAGACCTCAGAGTAATTTTCAGCTTTCTGGATTTTTAAGCCTGTGATTCCTGGGTGGGCACAAGGGAGTTGGAGTATCTAAATCTTGAACCCCTTCTGTACATAAAATACGCTGGCTTCATAATTCATGGAACTCATTCTGCTGAAATGGCCTACAGTGTCCTCTCTGGGTGCCAGCTCCAGCTTGAGATGGAGTCCTGCTTCTAGACTACCTCTGGACCAGAGTTGTCCTGCAGCCTTGCCCTGCAGCCCTGGCTCAGGGTCACCCGCAGATGTACCATCCTCTGCGACAGCTGCTCCTGGTGGGAGCTCACACTGAACTTTTGGGAGCTTGTCTTTTAACACTGTTCATGTCTCTGCCATGGACGTGCAGCCTCCCCTCTGCACCGGCTTTCAACTCTCACACATGGAATGAGGATGCCGCTTCACTCTGTGTGGCCCCGTGTTTGGTTTCAGGTGAGCTGGGATGGGAGCTGTACCACAGGCTAGAGGACTCCGTGGCTCTCTACGAGGCTGTCATGACTGCAGGCCAGCAGGAGGGCATCAGCAACTTTGGGACCTACGCCCTGAATGCTCTACGACTGGAGAAAGCCTTCCGAGCCTGGGGCGCCGAGGTTGGAAATTAGGGTCCCTTCTCTCAGACTGTTTCCCTTTGATGTCTGTATGCAGACTTGGGCTACCTCTGCTTCTGGCTGGGCACATGCATTTACCGGGAGCAGTGCCAAGCACCGGGGGACTCTGACAGGGGGCTATTCTGTCTCAATTCCTCCCAAGTAGTGGGAGCCCTCAAGTCTGTGTGTGCTGTGGGGACCGGCTTGTGGGACTTGAGCCCCACCTCCACCTGCTCTATGTGCTGACCATCTACATTTCCTTCTTATCTTGTCCTTTCCTGCAAACTAAACTTTTTTCTTGCTGAGGGACAAGGCCAGTGGTCCCACATGTGTGAGTCCCATTAATAAAAATGCAAGATTGCCTGTTAGTCCTGTACGTTAGCCACTCACATGAAGTTTCACTGGCATGATTTCATTTGCCTTCTCAACTCTCAGAAAGTTTTACCATGACTCCTGTTCTACACGGAGTCCCACTGAGATTTGGCGGGGCCTTTGGTTCATGGTACACAGCACAGGCCAAACTGGGGTTGAAACTCTACCCTGTAGGGTGGCAGGTCCTCAGAATCAGAGGTGGTGAACCTGTGGCTTGCATGCTGCAGTGGGCTGTTTGTTATTTTTGAAAGATCCAAAAGATTTGTCATCACTGCTGTAGATCCCCAGGCTTTGCAGTCTTGTGGTTCTTTCCTTGGAGGCAGTGAGGGGCGATGAGGGATGGGTGTGCTGGGGTCTGAATTTATCCACTTCATCCTGGCTTGGGGGCCTAAGCCCCAGAGCCTCTGCTCTTCTGCGTGCAGGAACAGGTCTCCTACAGGATTGCATTGGTCTTTACAGGGCTAAGAAAAATTTCAAGTTCATTTTAAGTCAATTAATTTCATTTTAAGTGTAATTTGAAGCCCAGGCACGCACTCTTGAGGATGTGGGCTTGTGAAGGGAGGCAGCAAATTGAGCACTGTGAGAGTGAGGGGCCTCAGGCATCTCCGTGAAAGGTGCTCTGTGAGTGACCTCGGGTTTTTATTTTGTGGTTGTTTCTACTATTTTACTTGGCTTGAACCGAAGGCCTTTTCACTGAGCTCCATCTCCAGCTCTTAAAAATAAAGAACAAAAATACTTAATTTTGAGTCAAAGTCTTGCTAAGTTGCTAAATCAAACTTGTGATCCTCCTGCCTCAGCTTCCCAGAGTTCTTGCCATACAATGCCTGGCTTATTAGCAATCTTTCGCTGGGCTCCTGGGTCAGCTCTGTCCCGTGGGCCCAGGAGTGAAGCAGTGGAAGCTGCCCTTCGGGATTTAGACAGCTCTGTGCCTTGCCTCGCCCTGCTCCCCACACCCCGTTTTCCAGCGGTGCCAGTGCGCCCTCTTGTGTTCTGATAGGGATCACACTTCTCTGCTTTTTTTCTTTGAAAAAAAAAAAAAAAATCCGAAACTTAAGCAGATTAAAAACTACTTTTAGGGTAGCTCAAATTGATTAAGAGATGTGAGGGAAAATTTTATAATCATGTGAAATAATCTTATGCTCCCTTGGTTCATGTAAGTACTGTGCTGTCTTTTGAAGTTGACCCCTTTTAAATCAGGAGTCCTGGCATGTCAGCTACTTTGGAGGTTGATCCAAGAGGATCACAAACTCAAGACCAGCCTGGGCTACCTTTCAAGCTTCTGTCTCAAACTAAAAATTATTTTTAAATGGGCTGGGGATGTTGCTCGGTGATAGAACACTTGTTGGTACACACGAGGATCTGGGGTCAGTCCCCAGTACTGCAGAAATAAAGAAGCAGCTTGATATGTTTTAGAAAAGTCCTGTATGGAAAAGAGAAAAAGGAAACAAACACATTTGTCTCGGGGTGATTGGGTGCTGGCTGTGTCCCTGCACTGGCTGGGGATGCTGTTCTTTTTTTTTCTTTTGAGTCTGCAGAAGCCACATTCCTACCTTCTGCTTTTCCTGACTCTGGGCTAACTGCAAGATACTTCATTTTATTTATTTAGGGCTTTTTGGAGGTTAAGAGCAGAATATATTTATTGAGGGAAAGAAAGCGTCTGTCTAAGAGAGGGACTGAAGGAGACCCAAGTGGGTTGTTCTGGAAAATATTTCAAAACTTCAAAAACCTACTTATGAGTCAGTCAGATAGCTCAGCGGACTGAAGCATCTACTTAGACAGATGCAGGAAATGAGGTTCGATCCCCGGTGTGCCGTGTTGGCCCTGCCCCTGGGACATGCGGAGACAGCGCTGAGACTGGGCGTGGTGGTGGGCACCTGTAATCCCAGCGCTTGGAAGGCTGAAAACAGGAGGATCACTAGGAGTCCATTCTGTGCAGCGAGACCCTGTAGACTCAGTACTAAATGCATACAAAAGCTAGTTATATACAATTATGACATACAACCTAAACAGCCTTATTTATGGAAGGAACATTGTGTCTATCCTTCAGAGATTTTTTAAAATAGAAGAGCTACACAGACAGGTTTTGACATTCAGCTTCTGTATTTGCTATACTCTGAATGGTAGTATATGCTGAAAGGCTACATTTGAATTTTGAATTTAAAAAAGGCTTCTAGACAGCAGTCCCTAAGCTACCTTTTTCAGCAGCTGCATTTGAATATCAAAAAATGCTCTTTCTTCTAAAAAGATAACACATGGAAGTGACGTCATCCAGTTATTACTCATCTAAGATTTAAAATGTTTGTTTTCTTTTTTAGATGAACTGTGATACAAATCCTTTGGAAGCTGGACTGGAATATTTTGTCAAGTTAAACAAGGTATGTTTACATTCCAACGTGTGCTTGAAGCAAATAGTAAAATGATTGCACTCTTTTGTAACAGAGCCATGCTTTAAAACTTAACCAAGTGTGATTACAGAAAAAAATGGTTGGACTCTAGGGGCCCGGGGAGATGGCTCAGTGGAATAAGTGCTTTCCTGGCAAGCGCAAGGGTCTGAGTTCAATCCCTGGTTCAGAATCCAGCATATTGAAGGGCTAGCTCTAAGTCCTAAGATAAAAATTAGTGAAGATAAGATGCTTATCAGTTTGATTTCAGCAGACATTCTCGTAAGCTGTGGATATCACAGTGACTGCTGTGACTACAGCGCTGTGTAGCAGCCAACCACCCCTTGGATGCTCCCAGGAGCACTCAGCTCTACCCAATTGGTTTCTCAGCATCTTCGTCTGGAACTACAGAGCCTGAGTGTAAGCAAAGGACTGATCAAATGTGCCCAGTGTAGAACCAGCACTCATGGAGAAGCTGCCAAGGGCCCAAACAATCGGGACTGACATGAACCCTCCAGATTTGATACATCAGTGGTCCTGAGACGAAGCATCTAATGCTCAGGTTCAACCCTGGACCTCTTAAGGGAACCTGTGGGAATCAGGCCAACAAATCTGTGTTTTAGCAAGCATGGCCGGCCAATTTGAGAAACACCACCTCCATAACTGTGGCGCGGAAGCTCAGCATGAGGCTAACTCATTACAGCCCGGCTCACCTACACAGTCCCTCAAATACTGAGATGGCTCCGTTGTGCTGTGCAGTGTCTGCAAATGACTACCAGGAACTGAACACAGCCCACACTGTGGGAAGTACTAAAGCATGAGGACAGCAGCTGTGGGTTTCTGGGGTACTTGTTAGGGTTCCCAAATTAAATTATTTCAGCCCCTAGTGCTTACAAGCAAAAGGCTGGTCTCTCAACCTATGGAAATGAGTCAGCCTAAGGAAATGTTAGTGCCCCAAACACTGACCTAAAATGTTAACATAAAGTGTATATATTTATAGGACTAGATTTTAGGAAAAAGAATCTCCTGAAAGGCTTCAAGGGGAATCACTTCTGTACGTTTTTTCCATTGCTAGCCAGGGAGGTAGCTCAGTGGCATTAGTGCCTGCCTGGCAAGTGCAAGGTCTACCATCTGCCTCCAGACTGGAGAAAGTAGGTGATAGGGTTTGGGCAGAGCCTGGCAGTGAGTCCATACTTCCACAACAGAAGTTTTGCTTTAGCTTGGAAAGTAAGGACAAAAACACTTGACTCCTGAGAACACAGAAGTTCTGCTCTTGGTCACTAGTGAGTAGATGAAGTGTTTGGAAATTATTGTTTGGGGAAAGGCCCACTTAAGTGGTCTCTGTGTTGAAATTGGATTCTTAAAACACTTTTTATGATTATTAGCAGGTGTGGATTGTGCTTATTACCTCTTTTAAATGATGTAATCAAACAATCAAAGTTCTGTTCTAATGGCTTGAGGCCTGTCAAATGGCTTAGCAGATTAAAGCCCCTGCAAGCAGGCACAGGGCCTGGGGGTTTGATCCCCAAGCCTGCCGTGCCTGCCCCACCCCTGGGGCACCCTGAGATGCGATTGGGATCAACTTTGTTCAAATCCTCTTTGGTGGCTTTGCAGCAACTTTGGCCTGGTTTAAGAGCAACCTATAATGACCAATGCATTACCATTACAAATCAAGCTATGTAGCTTACTATTCCAGCCTGTTATGGTTTGTGTCTAGGTGTCCACTCCCCACCCCACCCCCAAAGCCTCATGCAGTCAAGGGGGCAGCTTCTGGAGTTTATGATGGATTATTGTGAATGTGGATGCTGCACCTGCCCTGGGGCAGGGAATTTGCATTACAATATAAGGAGGGAGGAGAAGCTAACTGCTCGAGCTTGCTACTCTTCCTTTTGCTTTGTCTTGCTCTTTGCCAAAGCCATGAAAGTTTGCTCTCTGCTATATGCTGCTCTGCCTTGGACCCAGCTGAGTATGGACTGAAACCTCCAGTAACTGTGAGCTAAATAAATCTTTCCTTCCTTCATTTTGAGTGTCAGGTATTTGTCCAAGCAAACAAGAGAAGAGTAGCTGAGACACAGCCCTAAGCCTAAAAAACAAACTCTTAGGCATTTAAGTACAGGAGGTATTCCCTTCAAATCCCCTTAGAAGGTCTCATATACCTTTTCCAGAACAACATCCTGCAAGTTGTATTGCTTTGGAAATTGATTTCAGTATGAAAATAGAAGCTACATTCAACCTGGAGAGATACTTGGTACCAAAACCAAAAATCTCATTTTGTTTGTTCAAAAGCACATAGGTATAATTCCTTGCTTGGATTTTAAGCATTTACAGGATGACTATATAAACCATAATGAGAAAAAAGGCTGAGGAGGCAGCTGTCAGGTGAGATCTCTGGAGACCAGCCCCTCCTGAGGACAGGGGACCGAGGCAGGGGGTGCAGGGGTCCTGGGAGGTCATGGATGGCCAGGTCGCCACAACATCATTTTCTACAGTGGGGTATCAGAGTTGAACTGTCCAGGAATCTCTGTTTTGTAAACAGAATTTTCACAGACATCTTTTATAGACTGACCCCCCCCCCCCAGCCACGCTTCCATTACCTCTGTTACATCCAACTTTGCATCTTATGGGGGAGTGGCTAAACATAACTGCTTTGCCCATTTTAGGGAGGAAAGTGGCTGAGGAGATGGACTCTCAGGCCAAATAGGTTGAATTGCCTTCCTGTCCAAACTGCTAAAGAAGAGGGAACACTGGGGAACTCTTCTGGGACGAGGGGAGACATGACAGAGCTGGCTTCCTTCCGGCCAGGGTGGGTCAGCTCAGGCAGCCCTAACCTGGCTGAGGGGAGGCGGGCTGGAGCACAGGTGCATCTGGGATGTAGAATTTGCTACAGGCATTTATGAAAGACCTTGCTGGACGTTAGCAGTGCTGTGTGCTTCTGATGGTGCTCTGATCTCAGGGAAGCAAGAGGACCCGCGGGGTTTCAGGAAGCAGAGCTGTGGGATATGGTTTTTTAGCTTTGATCCAGAAACAGCAGTGAGCCACACAGGGCACTGCCCAGCCCAGCCCGCAGAGGCAAAAATGATGACATCCTGCAGCTCCTTTTACAACCCTCCCCACGCTGCTGTGGAGTTGGGATCAAATGATTGTACCCTCGGCGTTTGCCAGAAGCAAAATGATACATAAGGCTTCCTCCCGAAGGCCGTTCTCTTAAAATATCTTTATAGTGATTTGTAAAGGGACCTCTTCATTTAGCTAGTGTACTTCTTGTAATTAGGGTGGCATTTCCTTCGGTCTAAAAATAGAATTGATACTCATTTCTGTAGACATAGGCAGCTTTTTTTTTTTTAAATTAATTGGTGCATGTTTGCAGACCATGCAGGTCATGGTCATCTTGGGGTGGGTACAGATACTCCAGGCTCTGTGCACCACCAGGAAAGAATTTTCCAGTGTACACCTTGAGAAGTAGTAGGTAGCCCTATATTTGTTGAAGATAGTGGGATGGTAGCAGCAGGGCAAAGGGAAAAGGAACAAGCCCTTGATCACTCTGGCTTCCAGGACTTAAAGGTCAGACACCCATGCCTCCAGGGCCTCTCATTTGGTCTCCTCCTGGCATTGTGATCCACTGCCTCAGGGATCTGACTTCCTAAGCTTAGACTGGGGAGGTGCCATTGTGCTTAAGGCTGACTGAAGCGAAGGATGGTGTGTTTATAGCTGACTGAAGGGAAGGGAGTGGCTCCCTCTATTCCCTGCTTCTAACTGTGCCCGACATGTACATAATACAGTTTATTTCTTTTTGTAATCCCTCCCTCCCCTTCTTCTCTCTCTCCCTCATTTAATTCCCCTTACCCCAACTTCAGTCTTTTTTTTTTTTTTTTTTTGGTGGAACCAGGGATGAACTCAGGCCCTTGCGCTTGCCAGGCAAACGCTTATTCTACCAAGCAGTCTCCCCGGCCCCTTCCCATCTTCATTGTTACTGATATTGTCAATCATAGCTCATGTTTATGACACATAATGCTTACGTCCATTGAGTTATTACGTTCCGTCAACAGGGCATGGCTTTATAGCTCTCCCTGCTTCCCCTTCCCCTCACCCTTTACCTCTTGGGCCCCTTCCCATTTGCAAAATATCCGTCTTCTTGACCCCTTCTCTCCACTCTTTATTGTCCTCTCTGTACTTTGCCTCACTCAAATAGGGTACTCAAATGTGTGTACTTTGTCTCACTCAAATGAGGGAGATCATATGGTACTTAAACTGGTGTGTGTGGTTTATTTCACTTAACAGCATATTTTCCAAGTGCATCCATTTTTCTACGAATGTCTCAATTTGTCACCCTATATAGCCAAATAGTATTCCAGCATGCATAGATTTCACATATTTGTAAAGAAATGGAATTATTGGTTGCGTATTTTGGCTTTAAGGCCAGTAGAGCTTAGATCCACCCTGTCCTCCAGTTAGCATACAGGAGGTTTATCATAAGGCTGGAAAGAGCAAGCTGCGAGCACTTAACTACAGCTCAATAAATGGAAGCTATTCCAGTGGACTCATTTTACCACCAGCCCATTTTGATTCAGTAAATAAGACACTTTATTAGAACTGAGGTAACAATGTTTTGGGTTGGACCCTATTGTCTTAATTTGCGCAGCCTGTCTCTGAGAAATGTGTCAAAGTGTATTTTGTGGATGAACATCTATAGCTTCCATGACACAGTATAAAAAGGTAGAAGTTTCTTCTATTTCAGATTTTTCGTTATAAATCACTATTACTTATAAGCAATGTAATCTTATTAAGTACAGTATAATTATAACTGAACCCAGTGTCATCTGTGTGGTTAATTTAAATATACATATTAATTTTCTTTAAAAATTTATTTTCCAGTTACAAATAATAGCCACAAACTCATCCAAGTCAGGTCTTTTCAATCCTCATAATATTTAGTCAACAAGCAAGATACTTACACTAACATATAAGAGTTGTTTTCTGGGAGGTCAAAAAGAAAG